GATTCTTCAATTTTTTGATGTCTTCGTTTCGGTATTTCAGTTTTGGGAGTTTCCAGTTTTTTGTTCATTTCAAAGTTTCGATTTCTAAAATTCTCAATTTTACAATATTTCAGTTTGGAATTTTTGTTTTTGCAGCTTCGGTTTCGATTTTTCTCGATTAATCGATTTTTTGATTTTTCAATTTCTCGCTTTTTCGAATTTTTAATTGATCGATTTTTCGACTTCTTGACTTTTCAGTTTCTCGTTCTTTTGATGTTTCGATTTCTCAATTTTTCGATATTTCAATTTTGGGATTTTTCAACTTTTTGTTCGTTTAATGATTCAATTTTTAAAGTTCTCAATTCTTCAATTTCTCGATTATCATTCAATTTTTCAATTTTTGGCGTTTTTAAATTGTCAACTTGTCGATTTTTCGCTTACTCAACTTTTTGACTTTTCGATTTGTCGATCTTTTCATGTATCGATTTCTCGCTTTTTCGACTTTTCGGCTTTTCGATTTCCGAATTTTTTAACTTTTTAGTTTAGTCATTTTTGATTTTTTCGTTTTTTCAATTTTTCGATTCTTCATTTTTTAAAATATTCCATTTTTTATGATTTTTTAATGTTTCGATTTTCCGGTGTTTAATATTTTAACATTTTATTTTTTCTATTTTTCAAATTTTGGATTCCTAGATTTTTCAAGTTTTCGATTTCTGAATTTGTCAATGTTTCAATTTTTTTGATGTTCCGATTGCTCGATTCTTTGGCTTTTCAATATTTAGATTTTAAAGAAATTCCTCGCGCCACTGGTTTTTATTTCATATACATATAAATAATCAGAAAATAAAAATCGCATTTTTTTTTTTTATTGTTACGTTGAACGGGCGAATAAAATCGGCATGGGTAAAACTCAAAAATTTATTTCTTAATAACTCGATTTACACGAAATTCATCTCTCGTTATCAGAAACAAAATCGCACCCCTGGGGTGCGATTTTGTTTCTCGATCGAAAGAACCTCGATAGCGATAAAATCTCGTTTGCTGATTGGTTGAGATGCTACATTTGTGTCACATTTTTCGATTCTGTCACGAAATCAAGTCTTCATGGAGTGATATTTTCTCGATAGCTCTTATTGGAGACATAACCTCGAAATTGATGTCAAAATAGAAGTTCAAAATCGTAATTCTGAGTTATAAGTTCTTAAAATTAAGGTAATTGTAAACTTTTGAGCATTTAATAAGCTTATATGCAAAGAATAAATGCAAACTTTTGCATTTAAAAGCTACGCAATGACATTTATCAGAAGTGATAAATTATCACTTCGACCGTGGTTCCCATCTAAACAGTCGCGCGGCCCTTCTCGAAGGTCTCCATCACCGCTTCTAGTCTTGTTCTCGAACACCCGTCCCAACATCCGCTTCCAGGCTCTTCTCCAGCGAACGCCGTCCAGCCGCGATAAGTCATACTACATACTAGAAAACCCATAGGCGTCGTAAGGGGGGGGTATAATAAAAATGCTGAATGATAGAAACTTTAATTTTTTATTTTTGACGTCACACACAACCATCAAATGTACAAAAAATTGGTCGAACGTTGTTTCGACAGAACTTCCCTCGCACCTTAAGTACAATGAAACATATCCAGCATTTTTGAGTTTAGTTTTTTCTTTACACAATATTGTGATGACGTACTCAACATTAATCAAAAATAACAGTATTGTATTCCCAAAATTTTCTGGGAAAAAAGAGTAAGCCGTTCTTGATTTAATCAATAAAATACCTTAAATTCACTCATTCATTAATTTTGTTGAGCCACCTATTCAAGCAAATATAAAAATATGAATAAACTCATCATATTTTGCACATTTTGGGTAGAAATTATTCGGCAAAATTTTGAGATGGCGTCATCAATTTTTGGGGGGAATAAATATATTTTGATTAATAATTTACTATATAATGACTTTAAAACGTCTGCAAGATTTCAAAGTATTCAGTTTTGGAATTCTTGATTTATTCAATAAAATAAATTGACTGATATATTAAATTTTTGAGTCACCCTGTATAAGCAAATCTAAAAAATATTAATGCAGTGATAAATTACAGGTATAAACTCATCCTATTTTGTCCATTTAAGATGGAATTTATTCAGCAAAATTTTGAGGTGACGTCATAATTTTTTTAGGAGGGACGAGGAAATACATTTTGATAAAAAATTTACCATGCTTGTGGTAACTTTAAAACGCCTCCAAGATTTCAAAGCGTTCGGTTTTGCAGATTCAAATTTAAATTGAAAAATGTTTTATAATTTTATTTTTTTTCTCCAAAGATCTGGACATTTCGGGTAGAAACTCAACACGGAGTCATAAACTATATGCTTAGGACTGTGTTATTTTATACAGTTTAAAACCGATTTACTATGTACAATTTTGAAGTGACGTCATCACATTATTCGTGGGGATGACTAGACAAATTTTGGTTAGTGTTTTACCATCTACATGATATTCCTAATATAAAACTTGATAACAATCGGCGAGTAATTTCGGAGATTATCTGTCTAATAAAAATCCGGACGGCAGACAGACGGACGGAAACAGGAGACCTATTCCTTCGTACTCTAGAGGTCATGAAACGTCGAGAAAACGTAAAAATCAAGAGTTGTCCGACGGACTCGATTACAATACTCGCAGTTGCACTATATCTCCAGAACATTCATGCTGCGGTAATTTGTCTTTTTTACTTTCCGAGCGTAAGCAAAGGAAGTATTGTAATCGAGTCCGTCGGCCGACTTTCTACTTTTACGTTTTCTCGATCTTTCATGACCCCTAGAAGACGAAGAAATAGGTATCCCATTTCCGTCTGTCTGTCCGTCTGTTCGTCTGTCTGCCGTCCCGGATTTTTATTAGACAGATAATCTCCGACAGTACTGGACCGATTGTTGTGAAATTTTGTAGTTCTATTAGGAATATCATGTAGATGGTAAAACGCTAACCAAAATTTGTCTAATCATCCCCACCACTAATGTGATGACGTCACTTCAAAATTGTACATAGTAAATGGGTTTTAAATTGTATAAAATAATATAGTCCTAAACATGTAGTTTACGACTCCGAATTGAGTTTTTACCCGAAACGTCCAGATTTTTGGAAAAAAAATCAAAATTATAAAACAACATTTGGCAATTTAATTTTGAATCTGCTAATCCGAATGTTTTGAAATGTTGCAGATGTTTTAAGGCTATAAAGAGCATCATAAATCTTTACTCAAAATATATTTGGTTATCCCCTCCAAAATCTTGATGACGTCAGCTCAAAAGTTTGCCAAATAAATCCTATGTAAAATGTACAAAATATGATGAGTCTGTGCTTGTGATATATCACTCCATTCATATTTTTTGGATTTGCATATACAGGTGACTCAAAAAAATTAATGAATGCGTAAATTTTTTTACTGATTTACTCAGGAACTACAAAACCGAATGCTTTGAAATCTTGAAGGTGTTTTAAAGTTAAGCGTGGTAAGTTTTTGATCAAAATGTATTTGCTCATCCCCCCCAAAAAAAATTATGACGTCACCACAAAATTTTGCCGAATAAATCCTATCTAAAATGTACAAAATATGGTGAGTGTCTTCTTGTCATTTATCATTCCATTCAAATTTTTTCGATTTCCATATACAGGGTGACTCAAAAAAATTAATAAATGCGTAAATTTATTTTATTGATTTACTCATGAACTCCAAAACCGAATGCTTTGAAATCTTGAAGGTGTTTTAAAGTTATCATAAGCATGGTAAGTTTTTGATCAAAATGTATTTGCTCATCCCCCCTAAAAAATTTATGACGTCACCACAAAATTTTGCTAAATAAATCCTATCTAAAATGTACAAAATATGATGAGTCTTTTCTTGTGATTTATCATTCTATTCATAGTTTTTGGATTTGCATATACAGGGTGACCCAAAAAAATTAATGAATGGGTAAATGTATTTTATTGATTTAATCAGGAACTCCAGAACCGAATGTTTTGAAATCTTGCAAATGTTTTAAGGTTATAAAGAGCATAATAAATTTTTAGTCAAAATATATTTGGTTATCTTCTACAAAAAACTGATGACGTCAGCTCAGAAGTTTGCCGAATAAATCCTATCTAGAATATACAAAATATGATGAGTCTGTACTTGTAATGTATCATTCCATTCATATTTTTTGAATTTGCATATACCGGGTGACTCAAAAAAATAATGAAATCTACTGCGAAAAAAAAACATAATAGACATGCAGTCGTCACGTTTCCGACAGCGAGGGAAGTACTGTCTAAACTCTTTAGACCAATTGTTTTGTGAAAAAAGGTGTTAATTTTCATTTTCACTATTTGTACTTTTAAAAATGTACGAAAAACTACACCATTAATTAATGTCTTGGGGTTATCAAGTTACATCCAGAATCAGAATTAGTCTACGTTCGTATTTACAAAATAATTTCCTGTAAAACTAAACAGAACAGAAGTGAAGATAATTATTAATTTTAGTGTACTGTCCTACTTTATGTGAAAATACTGTCATTCAATATTTTATAATAAAAATAAAATAATCATAATAGAACAAATAGGAAGAAAAACACTTATGTATTAGTGTATTGTTATAATTACAGCTTAGCAGTAGCCTACGACTGAACAGGGCCGTATCTATACTGCAGTCTAGTCTAGTTGTAAGCGGTGTGGTGCTATTGTTCTTTATAACAACTTTAATTCGTTGTCGTTGACAAGATTAGCTGCATAAAATAATAATAGTAATAATAATCATAATAATTTTATTTAATAAACTGGGTGTGAGTAAATAGAAACCATTGAATAAATTTCCGAGGAAAACCATTTTCCTAATTACAACCCTGAAATTTACCCAAGATTGCCAACCCTATACCGTTGTTAACTTAAATAACCCTAATGGGACCCTTAAATTTTGTTAGTAGACAAAAATAGTGTCTTACAGCACCATAATGCTAATTTTTTTTTGTTTCTCTTCAGGCTCGTTCGACCGCCGACGGCGAAGAAGGCCTCCTCTTCATGCAAGAAATGATGGAACTCTCCAAGATCCAAAACCACCAACCTGACGCGTCTCCGCAGTCGGTCACCTTCACCATCAAAGACGCCACCGGCACCGACCAAGTGCTCACCGTTCAAGCCGGCCCTTCCCAATTCGGCAAGAACCTGCTCGGCGACCAGAAAGTCACAGCTCGCACCATGATCATCCACCCCTTCCGTGCCTGCAGCGAGCTGGTGCAGACCGAGGCCATCAAGGGCAAGATCGCCATCATGGAGCGAGGAGACTGCATGTTCGTGGACAAAGCACGAAAAGTACAAAAGCATGGAGCCGTGGGGGCCATCATCATCGACAACACCCCCGGCAGCAACGCCGCCACCTCCCCCATGTTCTCCATGTCCGGAGACGGCACCGACGACGTCACTATACCCACGGTGTTCTTGTTCGCGCAGGACGCGTCGAAGCTGCTGTTCGCCTTGTCGAGGGACCCCAGCATCGAAGTCACGCTGAGCGAATTCAAGGAAGGAGAGGCCTGGGGTCAGAGCGAAGAAGAAAGCATGTTTTATAAATTGAAAGTGTCCGTCCAGGAGTTTTTGAATAAGCATACGGGGATTGCGTTTACGAAGTCGGTACAAGTGGGAAATTTTAAAGCGAGTATCGGTTCGGACAAGATTAGGATAACGTTCGAGGAGAGTCAGGAGGGGAGTCAGGAGAAGAGTTCCGACGACACGGTCACGACACCGCAGTGGGTCCAAGTTCGCAAAGATCTCCTCAAATCGATAATGACTTCCGAAAGTAAGGAACTGTTTGTTCCTTTGAACATTTTGAGGATTTACTACCAGACGTTGAGCGACGATCCCATGGAGGATAAACGGGTGCAAGATACGGTTAAGCAAGCTGAGTGGTTGCTCAATCAGCTCTCCATCGAGCACGCCAATAAACAAGATTCCTTAATAAAAGTCGAAGAAAACGTCAAAGTTCTCTCTATTCTCGCGGATTTGAATCAGTTGGCAAAAGACGGCATCAGTTTGGACAAGGACGAGTTGGCGGAGTTGGAGGATAAAGAAACCTTGAAGGCTTTGAGTTCCGTGCTTAACAGTGTAGTGAGGGACGTTAAATTTAAAAAAGAACATTTAGAGACCGTTGCGAAAAAATTAGAATCGAGCGATGATGATTTGGTGATAGGTGAGATCAAGCCTGAGGAGAAGGATAGGGATTCTAGTGAAATTCATAGTGATAGTGAACATATTAAAACGAAAATTAATCACGCAGTCGACGAATTATGATTGAAACATTTATAATTTTTGTTATTTCGATTGGTCTCATAGGAGCGCAGCATTTGTTTTCGGTGGTATACTTTATATCATTTTTTGTAAATACACTGTTTACCACGTGTACATTGCATAATTGTATATACTCTATTTATAAAATTATCTGTAAAAACAAAATTGTGAGAATATTTTTATATTATTATATTAAAATGTTGAACATAAAACAATAAATTTTATTACAAAATTGGTGTATATTTGCGAAAATTTAGTTGCCTAGGGGAAAAAATCAAGGCGAAATCATAAACAACAAGTATAGAAGAATGTTATTTATAAAACTTAAATAGCATATCTATAAAATTTGACAACAAGCAGTCCAGTAGTTTCGGACCCTAATAAAATGCTTCCATAAGCGTCTGGAGACTAACAAATGGAAAACGATCTAAACGAACAAAACTAACTACAAATCGAAAAGCGTACAAAATTAATTATTATTGTGTAAAAGGGACTGCATTTCCGATATTGGGAATTACGAAATTCAATTAAAACTAATACGCTGCCCTTAAAACTTAAGTAGTTAAGATTAAATCTACTTCCAAATGACAGGCAGATATTTATTGTTTGAGATTTAATAATAAATCAAGTGTCAACATAATATATACTGCATTTATTTATTATCTGCAATAAAATAATGTTTTAGTAACGATTTTATCGGTTTTACTTACCGAGAAATTATTACAAATGATCAAGTCCATTGGGCGACTTGGTACTTCCATATTTTCGCGACGTGTCATTGCCTATAGAGTACAAAAAATAGGTCTGCCATCTGTCTATTTTTTTATTAGACAGATAATCTCAGAAGCTACTAGATCATTGTTGTCAAACTGTAATGTATATTATAATTATGTATAGATAGTGAAACAATAACCAGAATTTATCTAATCACCCACAACAACAATGGGATGACGTCATCTCCAAAATTTACCGTAGTAAATGTAATTAAAATTTTATAAAATAATCCCCGCACTTGTGGTTTATGAATCCGTGTTGAGCAATTTAACACTGAAACTGCAAAACCGAATGCTCTGAAATATTGCGAACATTTTAAGATTACCGGAACCATAGTAAATCATTAATGAAAATTTATCTGTTTATCCCCTCCCCAATAATTGTTATTTAAATTTGATAAAATAACGGGCGTGGCTAGTAATTGCCAAGATATGATTTTTCGCGAATGACATTTTCTTTAAGAAAATAAAGGACGGGTGGGCGGGGCTACTACTTGCCAATAATTTTAGTGTATGGAATTCAAAGAACTACTAAACTTCAGACTCTGACATGTCTTTCTATCTTTAATAATTGATTAGATACGAAGGACCGCGCGCTTAGTGATCCACCCTGTATAAAAAAATATACAGGAAAAATCATTAAGCGCGCGGTCCTCGATATGTTATTAATTATAGTATAAATAGTTGTGAAAAAAAGACTACACATACAGTATAACCTCGATAATCCGAATTAATTGGGGAAAAGGTGTATTCACTTTAGCGATTTGTTCGGATAAGCAATTTTCCCAAAAATATGAAAGGGAATTGAATAACAATTTCATACATTGGTAAAAACAAACTTCAAGAAATGAACTTTAATTTTATTAAACAAAAATAAAGTTTTCTTAAGCAACAATGCATAATAATCAATATGTATATTCCAAAAAATATTACTCCGTTACAATAAACACGCTATATGTATTTTTGGAATCACCACGTCAAAATCTATAACCCTGGATTTTTTGAGAATTTTTAGACAACTTTTTCAAAAATGAAATTTTTCACTGTGTATAGCTTGTTTTCAATATGTATCCTTATGCAAATTCCAACCCATTTTTGACGATTTTCGAAATTTAACTAAATACATTTTCTTATATATTTCGGGCCGCAGATGTCACTTCCGGCCTCATTTCTTCGACAACTCCAACCAGAATCACCCACTGAAATGTCGCAATTTTTTAAAATTTCAAAAAATTCAAATGTCACACCTATTTTTTTTATTGCTCCGTGACCGTAAACACGCTATATTTTTTGAATCAGCACGTCGGGATCTATATCCCTGGATTTTTAGACGACTTTCTCAAAAATGAAAATTTTCACTATAGGTATATCCCCCTTATGCAAATTTCGACGCATTTTCGACAATTTTCGAAATTTAACTAAATATATTGATCAAATATTGCGTCATTTTTGCATGTCGGTGCATGTTTCCAAGTTCAGTACGGACTGCAGAGTTTTTATTCGGATTAAAGAGACTTCGACTTCAACTAACCTCTGTTCGGATTACCGGATTTTCGGATAATCGTGGGTTCGGATTATAGAGGTTATACTGTATTAGGAAAAAAGAGGCAAAATATAAGCCCCGCCCGCCCACCCTGTCTCAATTCCAATGATTTGTTTTATTCGTCGTGAGTCAAGGGGGCGGATCCTAACTGCAAAATTCTTATTTCTCTATAAGAAATTAAAATAATGTTTTTGAGTATCGTGTTGTTCAAAGAAAACTAAATGTATTAAGTAAAAAGAAAGCCAAAGATAAGCTCCACCCATCCGTCTCGATTTCAGTCGTGATGAATTTTACGTTGGTTGTTAGACTGAGGGACGGGGCGTAATTGCAAAATTTTTATTTCTTTACAAAAGTTGACCATTCTAAAATGTTTCAAATTTCTTGTTCTAAAAAGAAAACTACATAAATTTGGAAAAAAAGTCTTGTAAGAGACATTTTACGAAAGTTGAAAAACTTAGTCTTCAATATGAGGCTAAAAATCCATTTTTTATTTTCGCATACCTATAGATTATTTTGCGCAAAATATGGGAGCAGTAAGTGAGAAGCAAGGCGAAAGGTTCCACCAAGATATAGAAAACATAAAATTTAAATGTTATAAAATAACCCCTGCACTTGTGGTTTATGAATCCGTGTTGAGTTTTTACTCTATATACAGGTGTTATTGAAAGGTACGTACAACAAAATTGACAGTTCTTCGCGATGTCTAAGAAGTCTGAAAAACTTATTTTGTATTATCAAAATTATAAAGGGAAAATTAACCCTTATCCAACCTTTTTAGACGCTACTGAAGCATAAATATGTAAAATTAATTTATTTGAGTAAATCTTAGCAACTGTAACAATGAAACTTTTGTCAAGACTAAATGTTGCTATAGAAACGAGAGATGATCTTTTTATCAGGGCGTACAAAGAATTTGGACATAAATTTTAATAATTTTTATCTCTAAATGGAGAACACTTTTATCTGAACTTTTTTTAAGTTTTAGCACCCATACCTCGAGACCAATTGCCGATTTAATTTTGTACGTACCTTTCAATAGCACGCTGTATATCTACTTTTTTCGTCAAAAATCAATTGTATAAGAACATTTTGCAATTTCAGACTGAAACTGCAAAACCGAATACTCTGAAATCTTGCGGACGTTTTAATCTGTTATTCTATTTCTGCAAAAATTATAGGAATTTGATGTGATGAAATGAAACCTAAAATAACTTATAGGGGTTGAATTCTACAAAAAAATTTTCGGAGTGATAAAAAATTCCATAAGGTATTGAAAATTAAACTTTTGAAAAAATGGCGTAAAAATTCACAAAAAAATCTGGGCTATTTGATCTCGACGTGTCGATTTCGAAAATATGGCGTGTTGGTGGTCCCGAAATAAAATTTTCGAAGTATTCGGTTTTAGCGTCAATTTTTTTAAGAATCCAAAATTTTCAAACATTTCAATTGGCGATTCTGGAAAAGTAGTAGGATTTTTGGACCAAATGAAACCGAAAATAGATTTTGCTTTGGGTAATTTTCGAAGGTGGTCGAAAAATAAGAAGACGTCATCAAAATTTGATGGGAACGGTCAAACAAATTATGATTAGCGTTTTGCCATCTATATGAGAACGTTAAAACATATCTAAAGTTTCACATTACGTTACAAACACCTTAATTTGAGCCGTTCTTAATTTGGTCAACACAATAAATAGCCTGATATTTTTTTCGTTCTAAAACAATGAATGCATTGATAAACCACAAATACAGATTCATAATTAATAAAATTTTGCATATTTTACACAGAATTTTGGAAAAAAAATCAAAATTATATAACAATATTTGACAATTAACTTTTAAATTGCAAAATCAACAGATTTGAAAAAAAATTGAAATGACGTCATCAATTTCTTGGGAGGGGATAAAGGGATCACTTGTGATGGTTAAAAGTTTACACCCGCTATTAAAAAAACATGTATAAATAGAATATCGGAATAGGGAAAGTACCCGTTTTTACAGTTCACACAGCAACAGTTCCCGAAATTTGCAACGACTTGTCACAGATTTTAAGTCCGTGCAGTGTTATTAGACAACCAATAATTTTTCAGTAAAGCAAACATTTTTAATTTTATTAATTGTTATTAAGTTATTATTATTAATGCATGACAAATTTCGTTTTGACGTGAAGTCGAACAGCTTTCTTTTCTGTCATTTCATCACAGCCATCTATGAGAAACAACCTCAAACCTTTGACATTTGTCTACGTGACAGTCGGCGGGAGCGCAGACCTAGTTCGAATAAACCAATGAGTAGACCCAACTCATCCAACACTTAACAGTGCAGAGGTCACCTTGAAGATCAAAATTGATACATTTTTGAAATTTGCATTGCTCAAAATTAAGGGTGAAGAAGTTCCTGTGCCCACTTTACAAACAAAGGTTACCACAAAAGTAAGTAAAAGTGATTTTTACACTTTGTAATCTTTTTCTTTTAATAATAGCTCATTCCTTTGATATATCAGACAAATTAACTTCTTAACTTTTCCACACTTTTCAGGGTAAAACTATCGGCCAGGGTAGTTTTTTCGAAAGTGAAGTTGCGAGAGAAATGGAACAAAAAGCAGGACATAAATTTGTGGGGCGCGGAACCCACAAGGGCAAGGGTATTGCCGTTTTTACGAGTGGTGGCGATTCACAGGTTAAGTCAACAACTGTCTATGAAATGGTATTTATTTGTTGTTGTAGGGGATGAATGCCGCTGTAAGGGCTGTTGTAAGGACGGCGATATATCTAGGTTGCAAAGTCTACTTTATTAAGGTAAGAAATCAATAATAAGTAATGTGATCGGTGGTTCGATTATATTTATATTGTATTGGGAAGTGTTTTTGAATGAGAGAATTTGTAATGAACTTGAATGTAAGAAGAATTCTTGGATTAATTTTATTGCAACACTTGTGCAATACATAATCATTGGAGAAAGTATTAGAATAAATGTTTATTGATTTAAAAGAGTAGTCACTCATGATTATTACTCATTAGGTTTCAAGAACATTATGTACATTTTAATAATTCACTAAAAATATCTTTGTTGTTACTTTCATGGTGACTGTAATATGTATGAAGTAGCAATTTTTTTTGTACTATTCTATAAATTGGTGAAAATATTGAGATATTAGAGTGAACAAATTTAAATTGTTTGAGCTGATGTCTTCAAAATTTTGGGAGGATGGATAGAAGACTCGACCCGATGATAACCTCAAAGCTTGTGTTAAATTTCAGAACCAGTGATTTAGTAGTTTCTAAGATTGACGTAAATCGTAAATGCAAAGTTTAAAATACAGGTTCACTGATAAAGTACAAGTGTCTGTGCATAATATTTTACATCTTTTAGATAAAATTTATCTAGCAATGTTTTAAGATATCGAGTCATCAAGTTTTTTGAAGTAATATACAAATTTCGAGTTGCCATTTTCGGTATTTACGATAATCTTAAGTCGGTTTTGTATTTTTTAATAACAATTTTAAAATTTTCGTGGACAATTTTGAATATTTTTCCAAAAATTAGATATCCAGGGTACAAAAATAAACACAAATATAGAAATGTATTGCTTATGATATATATTTACATAGGATTTCCTAGTAAAGTTTTGAGATAACATAAATCAGAATTATAAAGCTTATTCTCTTAATTAGCGAACATCAGATTATGAAAAAGAGAGAAGATAATAGTTTATACGTAAAAAAATTAAAAAAAATGTTTACTTATCAGCTAATTTAATGTGACGATAAATTTAAAAGTTAATTCGAAACGTACGTCACGTAAGCAGTAAAATTATATTTAATTGACTTCTATCAATTTATGCTCTCACTCTAACAATAGATAACCCGTTTGACCCCAGTTAGTCGAAAATTGTAATGTTTTACCATTTTTCAAAACATCTGGTGGATGTAAATGTGCGGTATAGAGTACTTGCAAAGGGCTTAAATGGAGAAAATGTTTCACATTGTAAAACCACATTACATTCGATGTACAGAATTTGGTTGAGTACTTATTGAGGAACTAAATACAACAAAATTTTAAGCCAATATTGCAATAAATTGAAAACCAAAAGATGTCGTTCTCAAAGTTAAATTTACAACTTCGAGTCCATTGGACGACTGGCTACTTTTATGTTCTCTCGACATTTCTTCGGTCTGTCTGTCTGCCGTCTGTCCGAATGTTTATTAGACAGATAATCTCTGATATTACTGGACCGATTGTTATCAAATTTTATCGTGTAAAACGGTAACCAAAATTTGGATAAAATATTACATTAATAAATATTATTTCCGTTTGTACCCTAGACTTCCAGATTTTTGAAAAAAAAAATCAAAATTGTGTAATATTTTGCAACTTTGAAACTGTATTTATTCCAATTGATATGCGTGTCCTTGAAAAATTGTTAATGACGTCATCACAAAATTTTGTAATGGGAAAACTTACCTGAAACAAATGCGTAGCACGCTTTTTTACATTTACTTTAACATTACATACATGCTTTATTTTAATTGATAAGGGTTATCATAAAAAAATAAAATTCGCAAAATCAAATCTTATATTTCTCGACTTCCAAATTTTTCAATTTTTTGTTGCTGCAATTTTCCGATTTTTAAATTTTTCGTTTTGTTGTTTTTTTATTTTCTTTATTCTTTTCAATGTTTCTTTCGATATTATAATTTTTCTTTTACTAATTTTTTTATATAAGATCAAGTTATTTAATCAAGGTTCAACTTTATAAAGGTTAGATTTTTCAATTTTACAATTTTTGGATTTTTGCAATTTCTCAATTTTCCGATTTCTTTAATTTTCAATATTTCGATTTTACCATATTTCGAGTTTCAATTTTCCGTTTCTCCAATTTTTCAATTCGTTTAAAGTTTTTGTTTTATACTTTTTTATTTTTCAATTTTGCAGTTTTTCCATTTTTTTTTTTTTCATTTGAAAAGTTGGCAAATCGAGAAACTTAAAAATAAAAAAAAAAATAATCGAAGAAATGAATCGAATCGAAAAATTTGAAAACCCAAAAATAATGGAATCGTCAAAATTGGAAAGTCGAAAAACTGACATTGAAAGATCGAAAAATTGAAAAATTAAATACGAAAAAAATGAAAAATTGAATAAATAAGAACATTTTAAAATCCAATAATTGAACAATGTAAAAATTCTAAAACCATAAAATTGAAAAAGTGAAAAATTTTAAAACATACATGATTATTACATATTTGAAATAAATACTAGAAAAATTGCCAATTACACATTGAAAAAACGAAAAATTGAAAAATTGAGAAACTGAAACATCTAAAATTGTAAAAAAGAAAAAACGAAAAATTGAAAAATTAAAAACTCCTGAAATTGCAAATCAAATAATTGCAAAATGTAAAAATCAAAAAATTCAAAAGTTGGAAAATTGAAAAACTGCAAAATTTAAAAATGAAAACTGGAAGAGTTGCATGTCGTAGAATTGAAGAAACAAAAAAAATTAAATGAAAAATTGAAAAATGCAAATCGAAAAATTGGAATTAAAAAAACAATAAATATAAAATCGGAACATTGATAAATCAAAAAATTGCACAATTTAAAAATTGAAAAAAGCAAAAATTATAAAATCGAAACATTGAAAAGGGGAATAATTGAAAAAATAAAGAAAATAAAAAACCGAAACGAAAAATTGAAAAACTAAAAATTAAAAACTTGAGAAACATTGGAAAATTGCAAAATCTAGAAGTCGAAAAATTCAAAAGTTGGAAAATTGAAAAACTGCAAAATTTAAAAATGAAAACTGGAAGAGTTGCATGTCGTAGAATTGAAGAAACAAAAAAAAATTAAATGAAAAGTTGAAAAATTCAAATCGAAAAATTGGAATTAAAAAAACAATAAATATAAAATCGCAACATTGAAAAATCGAAAAATTGCACAATTTAAAAATTGATAAAACAAAAAATGATAAAATCGAAACATTGAAAAGGCGAATAATTGAAAAAATAAAGAAAATAAAAGACCGAAACGAAAAATTGAAAAACTAAAAATTAAAAACTTGAGAAACTCAAACTGGAAAATTGCAAAATCTAAAAATTGAAAAATTCAAAAGTTGGAAAATTGAAAAACTTCAAAATTTAAAAATGAAAACTGGAAGAGTTGCATGTCGTAGAATTGAAGAAACGACAAATTGAAATTGAAAAAAAAAATATAAAATCGGAACATTGAAAAATCGAAAAATTGCACAACTTAAAAATTGATTAAACAAAAGTCAAAAATTGAAGAAACAGAAAATGTAAAACATTTAAATTGAAAAAAGCAAAAAATGATAAAATCGAAACATTGATAAATCGAATAATGGAAAAAATAAAGAAAATAAAAGACCGAAACGGAAAATTGGAAAACTAAAAATTAAAACTTGAGAGACATTGGAAAATTGCAAAATCTAGAAATCGAAAAATTCAAAAGTTGGAAAATTGAAAAACTGCAAAATTTAAAAATGAAAACTGGAAGAGTTGCATGTCGTCGAATTGAAGAAACAAAAAAAATTAAATGAAAAATTGAAAAAAAAATATAAAATTGGAACATTGAAAAATCGAAAAATTGCACAACTTAAAAATTGATTAAACAAAAGTCAAAAATTGAAGAAACGAAAAATTGAAATTAAAAGAAAAATAAAATCGGAACATTGATAAATCAAAAATTGCACAATTTAAAAATTGATAAAACAAAAAATGATAAAATCGAAACACTGAAAAGGCGAATAATTGAAAAAATAAAGAAAATAAAAGATCGAAACGAAAAATTGAAAAACTAAAAATTAAAAACTTGAGAAACTCAAATTGGAAAATTGCAAAATCTAAAAATTGAAAAATTCAAAAGTTGGAAATTTGAAAAACTGCAAAATTTAAAAATGAAAACTGGAAGAGTTGCATGTGGTAGAATTGAAGAAACAAAAAAAAAAATGAAATGAAAAATTGAAAAATGCGAATCGAAAAATTGAAGAAACGAAAAATTGAAATAAAAAAAATAAATATAAAATCGGAACATTGAAAAATCGAAAAATTGCACAATTTAAAAATTGATAAAACAAAAAATGATAAAATCGAAACATTGAAAAGGCGAATAATTGAAAAAATAAAGAAAATAAAAGACCGAAACGAAAAATTGAAAAACTAAAAATTAAAAACTTGAGAAACTCAAATTGGAAAATTGCAAAATCCAAAAATTGAATAATTCAAAAGTTGGAAAATTGAAAAACTGCAAAATTTAAAAATGAAAACTAGAAGAGTTGCATGTCGTAGAATTGAAGAAACAAAAAAATGAAATAAAAAATAATTAAAAAATGCAAATCAAAAAATTGAAGAAATGGCAAATTGAAATTGAAAAAATAAAAATAAAATTGGAACATTGAAAACTCGAATAATTGAAAAAATAAAGAAAATAAAAGACCGAAACGAAAAGTTGGAAAACTAAAAATTAAAAACTTGAGAAACATTGGAAAATTGCAAAATCTAAAAATCGAAAAATTCAAAAGTTGGAGAATTGAAAAACTGCAAAATTTAAAAATGAAAACTGGAAGAATTGCATGTCGTAGAATTGAAGAAACAAAAAAAAATGAAACGAAAATTTAAAAAATAAAAATCGAAAAATTGCCATTGAAAAAAAATTAACAATCAATTTAAAAATTGATGAAACAAAAGTGAAAAATTGAAGAAACGGAAAAAGTAAAACATTAAAATTGAAAAAAGCAAAAAATGATAAAATCGAAACATTGAAAAATCGAATAATAAAATAAAAAATTAAAAACCGAAACGAAAAATTGAAAACTTGAGAAACTCAAATTGGAAGATTGCAAAATTTAAAAATGAAAACTGGAAGAATTGCATGTCGTAGAATTGAAGAAACAAAAAAAAAATGAAACGAAAAATTATAAAATAAAAATCGAAAAATTGACATTGAAAAAAAATTAACAATCAATTTAAAAATTGATGAAACAAAAGTGAAAAATTGAAGAAACGGAAAAAGTAAAACATTTAAATTGAAAAAAGCAAACAATTATAAAATCGAGACATTGAAAAATCGAATAATTAAAGAACATAAGAAATCGAAACGAAAAATTGAAAACTTGAGAAACTCAAATCGAAAAATTGTAAAATCTAAAAATTAAAAAATTCAGAAGTTGGAAAATTAAAAACTGCAAAATTTAAAGGTGAAAATTAAAATTCCAATTTCTTGTGCTTCTTTTTTACTCGAAATTTATTGTAAAATTAATGACAACTCACACAGAATTTATTTATTTTTTTCAGAATGGGTGTCATATTATCACTTTTGCATAATATTTTAAAATATCAAAAGCCATAGGTTATCTTTATAAAGTAATAGATGCCTGATTTTTTCTAATTAATCTTATTTAATAAATATTTAAATAAACAATAAAAGTAAAAAATCAATGTTAGAAATATTTGAAAACGTTTGTTATTGTTCCACAATGATAAATGCTCAAAAATCTCCCTAATACTTAAGATGTGTAAAATTTTATCAGTACTTGCGGTTTATCAATGCATTCATCTTTCTTAGAATTGCTTATATAGGGTGAATTGATGAATGAAAGAATTAATTTTAATAATCAAATCAAGACTTTGGAAGAACATCTATCCAAATACATATATGTGTCCTTTATAATACTTCATAATTTATCTAAAACACCGAATTTGTTTGATTCGATTTAGGAAGGTTACCAAGGCTTGGTCGACGGTGGCAAAAACATCGTCGAAGCCCATTGGGCATCAGTTAGTTCTATAATCCACAAAGGAGGCACTGTCATCGGTTCCGCGCGATGCCTAGAATTCAGAGAACGTGATGGTCGCCTTAAGGCTGCTAAAAATTTAATAGATAACGGCATCACCAACTTGGTGTGCATCGGCGGCGATGGTAGTCTTACCGGAGCGGATATTTTTCGACAAGAGTGGAGCTCCCTTCTCGACGAACTGCTAAACAAAGGATCCATCACGGCAGAACAGCGACAAAAGTACCGCACTTTGCAAATAGCCGGTCTTGTCGGATCTATAGATAACGATTTCTGCGGTACCGACATGACAATTGGTACCGATACAGCCCTGCACAGAATTATCGAAGCCTGCGATGCTATCGTCAGTACGGCGTACTCCCATCAAAGGACCTTCATTATGGAGGTTATGGGTCGACACTGTGGGTGAGTTTTTAGCGAGTGTTAAGTCAGGAATTAATCGGGTCCAAGCATGCGGATGAATTTCAATGATGATTTTGTTACTGAAGTTGTGGCTACAGGATGCTGTGTTATAGGTATTTAGCGTTAGTGGCCGCCCTTACATCTGAGGCCGATTACGTGTTCATTCCTGAATCGCCACCACCGGATGATTGGCAAAAGCGGCTGTGCGATAAATTAGAACAGGTAGAGATGCCTGTTTGAGGCATGAAGACGTGTAACTAATTCACTAATGCTTGCTGAGTTTGCGTTGATTTTGGTTTTGGTTTTTGCATGAGACGTCTTGTGTGTATTGAGGTTTTGTTTGGTGATAGATAGAGTAGGCAGTTTCTGAAAATCGCTTTATTTTTCTATTTGAAATTTACAGATGATTATGTTGGTGGTTGGTTTAACAAAAAAATAAAAAAGAAAAAAAAAACAAGAAAGAAAAGAAATAAATTGTGTGGTGATTCTGTTATGTATTTATTGGTCTTATTTTGATGTCAGTGACTAATTATTTTGTGTTACAAATTTGAAGTACCTCTATCGAAATAAAATAGATCTAAAATTATGTCTTGCATATCAAAAAGTTTTTCTTAATTCCACTGTCAATAACTGAGGGCTCTACGAATTTTCGTTGTACGTTATATCGATTACTTGCGTGATTCGCTTTCCTAACATCCATGGAATCTTCGTTATCAATGTTACCGTTTACAGAAAATATAGTTCCGATGTAGTTTATACAACAGCAATCGCTGATATCTATACACAATTAACTTCTTAACTTGTACAACCCAACTATTCACTTAAATATTCCAAAAACACATTCTACCTTTAAAATCGATTATTGCAACGTGATTGTACATTTAATCCTCTGTTGAAATTATCCCTTCCCTTTTTCGTGATATGTACAGGGATAGACTGAGAATACTTTCAACCTTTACCACAAGACAAGATGAGAAACTGCGAAAAAAAGTAAATCGACATTTTGGAGTGTCCGAAGTGTAGTGACACAAAAACAACTGTACTTGTAAGAACACCGAAATATTCAAAAAATATAGTGTCTCATAATTGTAACAAATAGTGTAATGCCTGTTAAGCAACGCGTTTGTTGTTTAAAAAAAATCTAAGTGATCATTCGATTTTGACTTTAAAAAATATATTACTGTTGTTTCGTTTTTAACGTAGAACAGTTTAGAATTAGTGTGAAATGAAAATCCAAGTTCAAACTGGAAAATACACTTTTGGAATAGTGTGTGGTAATTTTAGCCGATAGCTACATATGACTTATTATTATTTTTTAATGAAACATACTGTACATTTTTATATGCCTTACAGTAGAATTCTTTTAATTTTGGCAAGTTGTTGTAAAACTGAACCAGTAACGACATCTGGTATGTTTCTGTCTTGGTCTGACACACTGTGTTTACACAGATAAAAAATGCCCGCACTTCTTAGAATTTTAGGGGCGGAAACGTAAGCTTTACAAAGATGTTTTATTTTCGAAATTTCGATGGAACATTGCCTCGTGCCAAAGTGGCTTTTGGCTTATTTTTAGCATCGGTGTTGCAATATTTGATGGATAGATAAACCAAGGTATCCGGTTTATTGTAGTACCAATAAAATAAAAGGATTTATAAAGTAGTCCTAAAATACTAGAATTTTTAGACAGGTTTTTCACAAAGTTCACCCTGGATTTGATTACTACATGACGACCAAAATACTAAAAATAATGGATTAAACAACAGTAAGATGCAATAATAAAATATGAGGTGTTCTATTTCAAAATAACATTTTTATAAACACTAAGACTCAATTTTATTTATAGTTCAAGCCCATACCTTTTACTTAAATTGCGAAACTTAAGAAGAGGTCATGCAAAAATATGTAAACAGGCCATACTTTTCCAATCAGCAAGTCGATATCTAATCTTCGAATTTTTGTCGATTTTTAAGCAACTTTTTCAAAAACAAAATTCCCCCTATCGTGAACATTTTGACTTTTTCGATCACCTTTGAAGCTAAACATATTTTCTTATAAATTTCAACCTTATTTCTTCGATAATTGTACTATTTTTCCAGAATCTTCCATTGTAACATGGCAATATTTAGGATTTAAAAGAAATTGAATTCCAAAGCAAATATTTATAAAGTCATGCTCCTGAACCATAAAAAGGCCATATTTTTCGAAACAGCACGTCGATAGCTATATCTCAACATTTTTGTAGTTTTTTAGTAAATTTTTTCAAAAGCAAACTTTTTCAAATTCTCCCTTATAAAAACTTTGACCCTTTTTCGGTCAAATTTGAAACGTATGGGAAGACATTTTCTTGCAGATTTCGACCTCCAGAAGTTGCTTTCGACCTTACTTAGATAGTTTTACCATTTTTCCAAAATCACTTTTTGAAATACGGCACTTTTTAGAATTTAAAAAAATAATAATTCCAAAGTGAATATTTCTAAAATCACGCTCCGGGATTATAATCAGGCCATATTTTTCGAATCAGCACGTCGACATCTGTAACTCAGAATTTTTTGTAGATTTTTTGGCAATTTTTTTCAAAAGCAAAATATTTCAATTTCTACCTTGTAAAAACTTTGGGCCTTCTTCGGTCAACTTTAAAACTTACCTGAAAACATTTTCTTGCAGATTTCGACCTCTGGAAGTTGCTTTCGATCTTGGTTCTTCGATAACTCTTATCATGTTTCCAGAATCGTCTCACACTCCGGGGCCATAAACAAGCAATAATTTTCTAATCAGCACGTGGATATCTATAACCCAGAATTTTTTCTGGACTTTATCGTAACGTTTTCAAAAGCAAAATTTTTCAATACACGTCCTTTATGAAAATTTTTACCCTTTTTCGGCCACCTTGAAAATTTACCCAAAAATACTTTCTTACAGATTTCGACCTTCAGAAGTTGCTTTCGATCTTATTTCTTCGATAACTACCATTTTTCTAGAATCTCCCATTGAAATAATAATATGGCGAATTTTATGATTAAAAAAAAAGTAGAATTCCAAAGCGATTGTTTCTAAAATCACACTCCGGGAAAATAAACAAGCCGTATTTTTCGAATTAGCACGTCGATATCTATTTTTTTTTATGGATTTTTAGGTAATTTTTTCATGAGCAAAATTTTTCAATAACCTTCCATTATGAAAATTTTGATCCTTTTTCGGTCACTTTTGAAACTTACCCAGAGACATTTTCTTGCAGATTTTAACCTCCAGAAGTTGCTTTCGACCTTACTTTTTAGACAGTTTTACCATTTTTCCAAAATCACTCATTGAAATATGGCACTTTTTAGGATTTAAAGAAATAATACTTCCTAAGCGAATATTTCTAAAATCACGCTCTGGGACCATAATTAGGCCACGAAGATATCTGTATCTCAGAATTTTTTGTAGATTTTTAGGCAATTTTTTTCAAAAGCAAAATATTTCCATTTCTGCTTTGTAAAAACTTTGACCCTTCTTCGGTCAACTTTGAAACTTATCTGAAAACATTTTCTTGCAGATTTCGACTTCTGGAAGTTGCTTTCGATCTTAGTTCTTCGATAACTCTATCATGTTTCCAGAATTTTTAGGAAAAAAAAAGGATTCCAAGCGAATATTTATAAAATCACACTCCGGGGCCATAAACAAGCAATATTTTTCTAATCGGCACGTGGATATCTATATATATCCCAGAATTTTTTCTGAATTTTTACGTAACCTTTTCAAAAGCAAAATTTTCCAATACCCGTCCTTTATGAAAATTTTGACCCTTTTTCGGCCACCTTGAAAATCTACCTCAAAATATTTTTTTACAGTTTTCGACCTTCAGAAGTTGCTTTCGATCTTATTTCTTCGATAACTACCATTTTTCTAGAATCTCCCATTGAAATAATAATATGGCGAATTTTAGGATTAAAAAAAAAATCGAATTCCAAAGCGATTATTTCTAAAATCACACTCCGGGAAAATAAACAAGCCGTATTTTTCGAATTAGCACGTCGATGTCTATGTCTAATTTTTTTATGGATTTTTAGGCAATTATTTCAAGAGCAAAATTTTGCTATTTGTACCTTGTAAAAACTTTGAGCCTTCTTCGGTCAACTTTAAAACTTATCTGAAAACATTTTCTTGCAGATTTCGACCTGTGGAAGTTGCTTTCGATCTTGGTTCTTCGATAACTCTATCATGTTTCCAAAATCGTCTATTGATATATGGCCATTTTTAGGATAAAAAAAAAGAATTCTAAGCGAATATTTATAAAATCACACTCCGGGGCCATAAACAAGCAATATTTTTCTAATCAGCACGTGGATATCTATAACCCAGAATTTTTTCGGGATTTTTACGTAACGTTTTCAAAAGTAAAATTTTTCAATACCCATCCTTTTGAAAATTTTGACCCTTTTTCGGCCACCTTTGAAACTTACCCCAAGACATTTTCTTGCAGATTTCGACCTCCAGAAGTTGCTTTCGACCTTACTTCTTAGATAGTTTTATCATTTTTCCAAAATCACTAATTGAAAAAATATGGCACTTTTTAGGATTTAAAAAAATAATAATGCCAAAGCGAATATTTCTAAAATCACGCTCCGGGACTATAATCAGGCCAAATTCTTCGAATCAGCACGTCGACTTCTGTATCTCAGAATTTTTTGTAGATATTCAGGCAGTTTTTTTCAAAAGCAAAATGTTTCAATTTCTACCTTGTAAAAACTATGACCCTTCCTCGGTCAACTTTGAAACTTATCTGAAAACATTTTCTTGCAGATTTCGACCTCTGGAAGTTGCTTTCGATCTTAATTCTGCGATAACTATCATGTTTCCAGAATCGCCTATTGATATATGGCAATTTTTAGGATAAAAAAAAAGAATTTCAAGCAAATATTTATAAAGTCACATTCCGGGGCCATAAACAAGCAATATTTTTCTAATCAGCACCTGGATATCTATAACCCAGAATTTTTTCTGGATTTTTACGTAACGTTTTTAAAAGCAAAATTTTTCAATACCCGTCCTTTATGAAAATGTTTACCCTTTTTCGGCCACCTTGAAAATTTACCCAAAAATATTTTCTTACAGATTTCAACATTCAGAAGTTGCTTTCGATCTTATTTCTTCGATAACTACCATTCTTTATCTCCCACTGAAATAATAATATGGCGAATTTTAGGATTTAAAAAAAATCGAATTCCAAAGCGATTTTTTCTAAAATCACACTCCGGGAGTATAAACAAGCCGTATTTTTCGAATTAGCACGTCGATATCTATTTCAATTTTTTTTATGGATTTTTAGGTAATTTTTTCAAGAGCAAAATTTTTCAATAACCTTCCATTATAAAAATTTTGATCCTTTTTTCGGCCACCTTTGAAACTTACTCAAAGACATTTTCTTGCAGATTTCGACCTCCAGAATTTACTTTAGACCTTACTTCTTAGATAGTTTTACCACTTTTCCAAAATCACTTATTGAAATATGACACTTTTTAGGATTCAAAAAAATAATAATTCCAAAGCGAATATTTCTAAAATCACGCTCCGGGACTATAATCAGGCCGTATTTTTCGAATCAGCACGTCGATATCTGTATCTCAGAATTTTTTGTAGATTTTTTAGGCAATTTTTTTCAAAAGCAAAATATTTTCAATTTCTACCTTGTAAAAACTTTGACCCTTCTTCGGTCAACTTTGAAACTTATTTGAAAACATTTTCTTGCAGATTTCCACCTTTGGAAGTTGTTTTCGATCTTAGTTCTTTGATAACTCTATCATGTTTCCAGAATCGCCTATTTATATATGGCAATTTTTAGGATTAAAAAAAAGAATTCCAAAGGAATATTTATAAAATCACACTCCGGGGCCATAAACAAGCAATATTTTTCCAATCAGCACGTGGATATCTATAACCCAGAATTTTTGCTGAATTTTTGCGTAACGTTTTCAAAAGCAAAATTTTTCAATACCCGTCCTTCATGAAAATTTTGACCCTTTTTCGGCCACCTTGAAAATTTACCCAAAAATATTTTCTTACAGATTTCGATCTTCAGAAGTTGCTTTCGATCTTATTTCTTCGATAACTACCATTTTTCTAGAATCTCACATTGAAATAATAATATGGCGAATTTTAGGATTAAAAAAAAATCGAATTCCAAAGCGATTATTTCTAAAATCACACTCCGGGAAGATAAACAAGCCGTATTTTTCGAATTAGCACGTCGATATCTATTTCAAATTTTTTTATGGATTTTTAGGTAATTTTTTCAACATCAAAATTTTTAAATTATTTCTCTCTTATAAAAACTTTGACCCTTTTCCGTTCAACTTTGAAACTTATCGAAAGACATTGTCTTGCAGATTTTGACCTCCTGAACTTACTTTAGGCCTGATTTCTTCGATTTCTCCTACTATTTTTCCAGAATCGCCCATTGAACGTGGACATTTTAGGATTTAAAAAAAAAATTGAATTCCAAAGCGAAAATTCTATTCTAATAAAAAAATAATAATAAATTTTATGTCGCGCTTCAAGAACAGAACACTGTATTGATTATCTTAATCGGCATTTTTTTTTTTATTCCTAATAATTAGTAACAAATATAAGAATGCGTGTTTATTGATTTACTCGGTGCCTATATTATTCAAAATTGCCTTTTAAATATTAAAAAAAAAAATTCCGAAAACTTGTTATATGTTATATTTTGTTTTATTACACATTTAAATGCAGAAAAATTTCACGCCTCGTACAATATGATCAAATAATTAAACAGTACCGGCGGTTTTACTACATCGCAATATAACCATTCATAAAACTTATTATCGATAACAGAGCACTGATTTTTATTTTCATAGAGCACGGTCATAAGACTGATAGTTTATTTAAAACATTATAAAAGTCAACCACTGATATGATTTTGTGTTGATAACCTGCAGCATTATCTACAATTTAGTTTACAACAAGTACGTATAAAAAAAGTTACACAATAACCAAATACTGATTTTAAAAAACTATAATTTCAACTTCACGAAAAGACCGAAACCAGAAGTTTTATTTAAGATCAACCTTTAACGATTTTGTCATTCTTAATAGCCACGCTTTTGCACCGTTGCATCGGTGCCCTACTTGCCCTAATCAGCTCACAGTTTTCAAAAGCATAACTAACCGTTTTACAGTTACTTAGCTTTAGCCGCTGCACTGGCCAGTGAAGCTGATTTCGCTTTTATACCCGAGTGGCCGGCTGACCTCGAGTGGCAAGAAAAGTTATGTCATAAATTGCACCAGGTACATTTGCAGCTTTTAACTTTCTTTGCGCTTTTGTATATATTTTATTGTCGTTCTTTATCTAAGACTTTCTTCTTCTCTAACTTTTCTATTTATGTGGCAAAATTACTGGAATTGGAACGCTTATGTTTTATTTAATAATAATAATAAAAATAATAATACATATTACCTCTCAATGTTTTACATTCTAACGCATACATTGAAAAAAATAAACGATTACCCCTTTTTCTTTAAATACTTAATTCCAACACATTTAGATATTTGATGACATACCCGTAGTTAGAAAACGGCATATGATATTTAACTATCGTTGTGGTAGTATAGTAGATCTTTTTTTGCATGAATAATTACTGAGTAGATGTATAGTCGTGTTATATGATTAAAACATTGTTACACGATCTTTTATCTAACACTCGTAATATTTAAAACTCTCAGTTGACAAAAAAAGTTAAAGAAAAAGTAATTCGTAGATGAGAAAGACTCTGTGCAGACATTTCACTTGAAACTAATTTTTTTTCTTCGCAAGGAACGCGCGATGGGTCAGCGTCTGAACATCATCATTGTAGCCGAAGGCGCCATCGATCGTAATGGCGAAGCCATCACAGCAGAGATGATCAAGAAAGTAGTAGTTGACAATTTGCAACAGGACACCAGGATTACCGTCTTAGGTCACGTGCAACGTGGTGGCAACCCTACGGCTTTTGACAGAATTTTGGCTTGTCGCATGGGAGCTGAAGCCGTCATGGCTTTGATGGAATCTGACGAAAACACAGAACCTTGCGTTATTTCGCTAGACGGTAATCAGGCAGTGAGACTACCCTTGATGGAGTGCGTGAAACGCACTAAGGCCGTGGCACAGGTAAACAAAACAAATTAAGAATGCGGTAGTAATGTTATAATGTGTATTTGATAGGCAATGGCTGACAAGAAATTCGACTTGGCTGTGGAACTGCGAGGCAAGTCTTTCATGCGCAATTTGGAAACGTATAAGCTTTTGACACGTTTGAGGCCGCCAAAGGGGTCCTATGCCGACGATGGACACAGGGTACGTTTGGTGTTTTTTATTTATTTTATTTGGTGTTCAAAGAAATTTTGACCGTGTTTTTTGATAACGTTGTTTTTACACCCAATAGAACGTATCGAAACTAAGTATATGGGGCCAGGTAAGTGAATTGCAAAATTGTAGAGCTTTCCTGAAGCTTCACTATGTGTATTTTTTTGTAATTCAGTGTATTTTATAATATCATACAAGCGAAAAAAGTCGTCTAGTAGGTGGTGAAGTTTATTTTTAAAATAATGATGTTGGTTTTGCAGCAGTTTGACACTGTCAAACTGAACAAAAAATTCTTTGGTGCTGCCAACATATTTTTTTTTTAATTGTGTTGGCCAAATCTGCCATGTCACAGTTGTTCGTTTTTGAAGTTATAAAAAATTGTTCGCGAAATTGTTTCCATCGCATTAAGGCTCGCGTCTGATCTGGTTTCGTCCTAGCATAGCATAGAAAAGTTCGACCTTTACCCATATTTTCAGTGGCTCGCCACTAGGGGACTGCGCCTCTCTGCGACTTTCCTAAAGTGCTAAAAATGCGCGCAGACGCCCTCCTTAAAATTATTATGTTCGCTTTTATTTACTCTGAAAATGCAGATGTCGAGCTAACAAGTAACAGTACAGCCATCACAATTTTTTGAATGAATTCCATGGCCGACTAGACGATATTTTCTTTTTTTTTTTTTTTCAAATATGATATTTATAGAAATTTCAGTAGATACGTAGACATCGATGTTTTCACCCCTCCATTTTACGTTCCTGTTAGTATTATTTAAAGTTTCTTTAAAGTTAAATTCGTTTCGCCATTCATACGATTATAGGCTTCGGCTTTTTAGAATATAAATTTTTATTAGTATTCAAAAAAAGTGATCTTCCTGTACTATCGCACGCAAAAGTACAAACCATTGTTTTTTAACAAAAACGGATACTTAAATTTTTCATGGGTAAAGTTTAAATGGAAAGTGTTTTTTTTTATCAACCTGACTTTTAGTGAGAAATCGAATAAACTGACGAATATTGACAATTCTAAAATAAAACAACACGAAACCTCGGAATGAAATATATAAAAATTATCTTCAATGTATCTTCTCTCTATTTAAATTTTGGAGCTTTTAAATACTTCGAATTTTACATTTTTCGATTTTTCAATTTGTTGATGTTTTAAATTTTCAATTTTTCAAATTTTTAAATGTTAGATTTTTTACTTTTTTGTTTAGACTTCTTAATCTTTCGATTTTTTGCCTTTCGTTTTTAGATTTACCGATTTTTCAATTTTTCGGAATAAATTTTTCAGTTTTTCGATGTTTCGTGTTTTCACTTTTTGGTTTATCGTTTCTTTTAACTTAAAATTTTTCAATTTTGAGTTTTTTCGATTTTCCAATATTTCAACGTTTCAGTTTTGGAATTTATGTTTTTAAATTTATCGATTATTCAATGTTTCCATTTTTTGGCGTTTCGAAATTTTTGGATTTTTCGATTTCTCAATTTCTCGATTAATGAATTTTTAATTTTTCGACTTTTCAATTTTTGGTCTTTCCGTTTTCTCGATTTCTCAATTTTTCGATTTTCTAATTTTCAGTGATTAAGTTTTGGGATTTTTCCATATGTATTTCGATTTTTAAATTTTTAGATATTTCGACTTTCTGTTTTACTGATTTTTTACTTATTCGATTTTCAAAATTACGCGATTTTTTAATTCTTACATTTTTCAATTTTTTCAATTTATTGATTTTTCGAATCGTTGATGTTTTGATTTATCGATGTTATAAATTTTCAATTTTTCGAATAGTTAAATTTTACATTTTTCACTTTTTTGTTGTTTCGATTTCTTAATTATTGGATATTTTGCCTTGTCGTTTTTAGATTTTTCGACTTTTCAAATTTTCGGAATTCATTTTTCAGTTTTTCGATATTTCGATTTAACGGTTTTTTCGATTTTTCACTTTTTGGTTTATCGTTGTTTTTTTTTAAGTTAAAATTTTTCAATTTTGAATTTTTTCGATTTTCCAGTTTTTCAACGTTTCATTTTTAGGATTTATGTATTTAAATTTTTCGATTTTTCAATGTTTCAATTTTTGGCGTTTCTAAATTTTTCCATTTTTCGATTTCTCAATTTCTCAATTAATGGATTTTGAATTTTTCGACTTCAATTTTTCATCTTTCCGTTTTCTCGATTTCTCAATTTTTCGATTTTCTAATTTTCAGTGATTAAGTTTTGGGATTTCTCCATATGTATTTCGATTTTTCAATTTTTAGATTTTTTGACTTTCTGTTTTACTGATTTTTTACTTATTCGATTTTCAAAATTACGCGATTTTTTAGTTCTTACATTTTTCAATTTTTTCAATTTTTTGATTTTTCGAATCGTTGATGTTTTGATTTCTCGCTGTTATAAATTTTCAATTTTTCGAATAGTTAAATTTTACATTTTTCACTTTTTTCATGTTTCGATTTCTTAATTATTGGATATTTTGCCTTCTCGTTTTTAGATTTTTCGACTTTTCAATTTTTCGGAATAAATTTTTCAGTTTTTCGATATCTCGATTTTTCAATTTTCGAATTAACGGTTTTTTCGATTTTCATCTTCTCGTTTTTAGATTTTCCGATTTTTCACTTTTTGGTTTATCGGTTTTTTTAAGTTAAAATTTTTCAATTTTGAATTTTTTCGATTTTCCAGTTTTTCGACGTTTCAGTTTTGGGATTTATGTATTTAAATTTTTCGATTTTTCAATTTTTGACGTTTTTCAATTTTTCGATTTCTTAATTTTTCGATTAATTGATGTTTTAATTTTGCCACTTTCCGATTTCTCGATTTCTCAATTTTTCGATTTTCTAATTTTCAATGCTTAAGTGGAATTTTTCAATATGTATTTCGATTTTTCAAAATTTTGCAATTTTTTAAATCTTCCATTACAAATCTTTTTGTTGTTTCGATTTTTTGCGTTCTCATTGTATATATTATATTATATGTATATTTCCATTTTTCAATTTTTCGAAATTAATTTTTCAGTTTTTCAATATTTCGATTTTTCAGTCTTTCAATTTATAGGGTTTTTTAAGTTTAAATTTTTCAATTTTGAATTTTCCCATTTTTCGTTCTTCAGGTATTTCGATATCTCATTTTTTCTATTTTTCGAGTTCTCGACTTATCGATCTTTTGATGTTTCGTTTTCGGGTATTTTCAATTTTTCGATTTCTCAGTTTTTCCATTATTCGTTCGACGTTCATTTTTCGACGTTTCAGTTTTGGGATTTATGTACATATTTAAACTTTTCGATTTTTCAATTTTTGGCGTTTCCAAATTTTTGGATTTTTCGATTTCTCGATTAATCCAACTTTTCGATTTCTCTATTCAAGTTTTGGAATTTTTCAAGATTGCGGTTTTTAAATTTTTAGATTTTTCGACTTTCCCATTTTTCGTTCTTCAGGTATTTCGATATCTCAGTTTTTCTATTTTTCGAGTTCTCGACTTATTGATCTTTTGATGTTTCGTTTTCGGGTATTTTCAATTTTTCGATTTCTCAGTTTTTCCATTATTCGTCTTTACGTTTATTCGACGTTTCAGTTTGGAGATTTTTGTATTTACATTTTTCGATATTTTAATTTTTCACTTTTTGGCGTTCCTAAATTTTCCAAGTTTTCGATTTCTCTGTTCAAGTTGTGGGATTTTTCAAGATTTCGATTTTTAAATTTTTAGATTTTTCAACATTTTCATCTACTCCATATTTTAATTTTTGGATTTTTTAGATTTTTAAAATTCTTGGTTTTCCAATTTTTCGGTTTTAACAATATTTTGATCTCTCCTTCAAAAACGAACATCACATATTAAAATAAAAGACGCTAGGAGCCCCTAAGATAATCTAAACTTCTTTCCAAATAAAGAACTCCACGGATCCTAGAAGTAAAAATATATTATCAGTGTATGCTTAACTTCAATTGTTTATGTTTATACATCGATAGAATGCGACAATTAAGCAGCAAAACGTTCTGAACATTATTTTGTTCTATGTAATCAATTTCTGTAATCAAGCAAGGAAACTTTAGTCCTTGTCCATTCTATTCTACTTTAGTGTTTAGGAAATTATGGTAGCCGGCAGAGAGAAGGCGGAGGAGCTTAATACCTCTCGCTGCTATACTTTTGCGTGCGATAGCACATAATTTTTGTATTTTGATTACAACACAAATCCCGGATCAGACAAACCTTACAAAATGTTGACACATTAATTATATGTATTCAACTTTCTTACTCTTTTTCTCTACTTTCCTTCTCGTACTGTGCTTTTTGTAAATTAATTTTCACCAACACTGCAAACTATTAGTTATAAGCGCTTTATTTTGTACACTTTAGGAGCGTTACACTGTAGCTGTAATGCACATTGGAGCCCCAGCTTGTGGCATGAACGCCGTGGTCAGATCCTTCGTCCGTAACAGCATATACCGTGGAGACACTGTCTTGGGTATTCAAGAAGGTGTAGAAGGTCTCATCGCAGGAAACGTCAAAAAAATGGGTTAGTCACATTCATGTTCATTAATCATTTAACTATTACATAATAACGTTTTATAGAATGGGCGGAAGTTGCCGGATGGGTTAGTACTGGAGGTGCTAATTTAGGCACCAAACGTACCTTGCCTGGAAATCGCATGGGTTTGGTGGCAGCCAGATTGGCAGAATTTAAGATTCAAGGATTACTCATAATTGGAGGTTTTGAAGTGAGTAATATTTGTCTTCGTTGATTAGCATTTCATTGATAATGTGTCACTATAGGCGTTCTCAGCAGCTTGTCAGTTCTTAGACGGTAGAAAAGAGCACTCAGCACTCAACATACCCATTGTGGTAATTCCGGGTACCATCAGTAACAACGTCCCTGGAACTGAATTTTCGCTGGGTTGCGACACTGCGCTTAATGAGATTACCGAAATTTGCGATCGAATCAGACAGTCTGCGCAGGGAACGAAAAGAAGAGTGTTTATCATCGAAACTATGGGAGGCTATTGTGGGTATTTGGCAACACTTGCCGGTAAGTCATTGTGTGTCAAATTCAGTATTTTTAGAGTGCTATTTAAGTTTTTTTTCACCAATCAAATTGTTATAGGTATAGCTGGTGGTGCAGATGCCGCTTACATTCACGAAGAAAAATTCACAATTAAAGATTTGCAACAAGACGTATACCACATGGCTGCTAAAATGGCCGAAGGTGTTCAAAGGGGTTTAATTTTACGTAACGAAAAGGCGAACGAAAATTACAATACCGACTTCATCTATCGTCTTTATTGCGAGGAAGGGAAAGGACTGTTTAGTGCAAGAATGAATGTACTAGGTTGGTGTTATTGCAATATTACTATAATATAATAAGATAATAAAAATGTGATTATTTTAAGGACACATGCAACAAGGCGGTTCGCCCACCCCTTACGATCGAAATCTTGGTACGAAAATGGCCTCTAAAGCTGTAGAGTGGATTGGAAATCAACTGAAAGAGCACTCTCGTCCCGATGGATCCACTGATTGTACTGATCCAAACAGCATAGTTCTTTTAGGAATTGTGAAACGACAATACAAATTTACGTCGATTGCTGAACTGAGAGAACAAACTAACTTTGAGTATGGTCACAATTTTGAAATGTATGTGTGTGTATTGTATTCGTCTGTTACAGTTTGCGCGTGCCAAAGGAACAGTGGTGGTTGAAGTTGCGCCCGTTGGCGCGTATTTTGTCAAAGCATGATTCGGCGTACGATGAGGAAGGAATGTACATGACCGTTGAGGATCGTCATATTTCCAATTAGGTGCTGGTTACTGTGCCATTTTGATGTCGATAATAATATGTAGCAAAATTTACGTTTTATGAGGCTTACAGATTTTATTTATTTTATTTATGTAAATATATTATACATGATGATTAGTTCATTAATTTGATAGGGAATTTTAAAAAACATTTTAGGCGATTTAAGGTTTTTTAAAATGTTAGAAGACTGTATCCAGTGGATGTTATTATTTAGCTGAAGTCTTTCAAAATCAAACGTGAATATAATATAGCGATTTTGTAACCAAAAATGTAAACGTGTTTGTTATATCAATAAACGTGAGTTAATATACTTTATGCGTTTTGAATTGGTAAATGAATTGTACATTTTTAGTACCAGTTCATAGAGGGGCTGTAAGCATTCTAATCTTTAATTAAAAAGTTTTAAACCGAATCTTGGAACTACAGAAATAGAGATGGTGATTTTGTGAAAATAAAAAATGACCAAGAATGTTTCAGATTAATGAATACCTAATTATTTTTTTCAATTACAAGGAATTATATGAGTTCGACAAGTATGAGCATGCCGTATGATTTTTTTAAATTTGGGGCGGCTCTGGAAACAAAAGTTATGAAAGACGTAGCGTGCAGTTTAACAAATTTAACCTCAATTTAATTCAGTGACAAATGACATTTATGCAAAAAATAATTAAACTACGCCATACGTCTCTCATTTCATTTGTTTCTGTTATTATGTCAAATTTAAAAAATCATACGGTAGTAACAATAAACTAAATTCTCGTAAATTAAACACTGGTAAAACTATTTATAAGAAAAGTGGACACATTTAACTCATTTGTTGGTTAGATTTTTTGTGGTCATAATATGTCGAAAGTTTTTACTTTTTTATTCACCGCTCCTAACAATTTCACACTTTACTTTTTTTGGTTTAATCTTTCAATTATATTAGACTCGGTCATATTGTTTGGGCGAAAGTACAAGTTTAACTTTTTCCTGCATAGACTTTTATAAGCAAGCAATAGCCCCGGCCTTCCCCCTCCTCTTCATTCTAGTACCTACTCTTAAGGAGACTCGCTAGACGAGGTATAATATTTTTTTGGTTTTTTGTATGAAAAAATGATATTAATATAGATGTAGCATACATCAAACTGCAGCTTTTTTCATATTCTAGAGCGCAGAGACCAGTTCAATCAACTAAAAAAATATGGCTGAGAAATATCGTAAAAAAAGCACCATTGTATGTTTTCTTTTCAAGTTTTTTGAGTCGTAACCATCATAGAATCGCTTGAAAATTCGCACATGGATAAAACACCACTTTTTACAGGGCGCAGAGTCTTTAAATGTTTGTTAGTGGTACAATTTGTTTAAATAATAGTTTCTTAAAATCAAAATATACCACAAATTAATGCAAAATACGTAGAATAATTTTAACAGGAATATCAGAGGAAAATTAATGATCTATTGGTTATCAGAGTTTTTAACAGAAACTAACAATTATTGAAAAAAATGGATATCAATTCGACAGAATTTGAGCAGTTAGTTCAGTACTTTGCCGATAGGAGCGCCACTAAAATTTACGGAAGCGACTTTCCAGGTAAAACCCTTATCGCCTGCTCTACCAGAAGCTGATTGTTAGAGTTCTCGGCTGATTTTTCTAATTTATGGCAAGGAACTCAGTTTTAAAACAAGCCGCTAGGACCGGCCGTAGGAATCTATTGTTAAGGAAATTAACTTTTACGCAATGAAGTACTAACATAAAACCGAATTAAAACTGGGGAACTATAATATTTTTACTCCACTCAGGATCCTGAATTCAATACACATGATTACTAAAAATTCATTGTAATATTATTGTTAATATATATTTTGCTTTGTTAATTAATAAACCTAATAAACATATTTATAATAATAATAAAAAATATATAAAATACAGCTTTTGTTTAACACGTATAAGTAGTTAAGTGTATCTATTACTTATCACAGAAAGGAGGTGTTTTAAAAAAGCCCTACGCCCAGTAACTTCTCCCTTCATTGTTTACTCGAAAAAAGTGCTCGTATATGTTTTCATTTGCCGAGAGATCATTTTCAAAATATATTTATAATAAAAATATGCAAGTCTTGGTGATGAAAAATGTACTCCTAATAAATTATTAAAGTACATAAAAAAATAGAAACGAATTTTAGTTATTTTAAAAAAATCTCTCTCAAAGGCAGGTTCCTCTTTCTTCTTGAATCAATTATTTCGGGCAATAATGCGCCAAAGTAAAATCTGCCAAGTTTATCTGCCATCTTTTTACAGATATTTCTTCGTCTTTACAAATTTTTTCTATATTTATTCCTTTGGGTGTCCATACAACAAAATAAACTTGTGAAATACCCGTAACAAGCATTTGTCCCTGGACTTGAAAGTAGTAATCATGATTTTTTTTTAGTTTCAATTCTCTGTCTGTCAATGTACAAAATTTGATTTTTTTTTCTAAGTAAGGAAATTGTTTTGAAATAAAGAAGCCACACCGTTCAGTTTTTATATTTTTATTTATTTCAAAACACTTGACAGGTTTTTCCTCACTTTGCTGTCCATAGTATGTATGACTATTATCTCTAAATGTACTGTACAACAGAGACTCCACAGTTTTAGCTATTGTTGTAGTCGGTCTAAGTTTGTAAATACGTCCAAAATTTGAAGCCCAAACCCTAATTTCTCTTTCTTTTGCCCAAGTGTGCCTGTTGCCTAGTGTCTATTTCAATTTGGTCTAAATTCAAAGATAATTTTCTCAAAAAAACCTCTTTGGCTGTCACAAATGTTTCTACATCCATGACAGGATTTTCTAAAAAATATTTAAACCATAATCGCAGTCGGGACCAGCATACGTAAATTTTTTTACGACATTTTTTTTACGAATACTTTGTCTAAGACGAGCTTGTTTTATAGACGAACAATATTTTTTTGTTATTAAACCAGGACCGTTTTAATCACAATATATTTACTTATCCCCTCTATAAAATTGATGACGTCACCTCAAAATTTTGCTGAATAAATCCTGTCTAAATTGTATAAAATATGATGAGTCTCTTCTTGTGATTTATCATTCCATGCATGTGTTTTGGATTTGCATATACAGGATGACCCCAAAAATTAATGAATGCGTAAATTTATTTTATTGATTTAATCAGGAACTACAGAAACCAATGCTTTAAAATCTTGCAAATGTTTTAAAGTTATAAAGAGCATAATAAATTTTTGGTCAAAATATATTTGCTTATCCCCTCCAAAAAATTGATGACGTCAAGTCAAAAGTTTGCCGTATAATCCTATTTAAAATTCACAAAATATGATGAGTCTCTTCTTGTAATTTATCATTCTATTCATATTTTTTGGATTCGGATAAACAGGGTGACTCAAAAAATGTAATGAATGCGCAAATTTATTTTATTGATTTAATCAGGAACTACAAAAACCAATGCTTTAAAATCTTGCAAATGTTTTAAGGTTATAAAGAGCATAATAAATTTTTGGTCAAAATATATTTGCTTATCCCCTCCAAAAAATTGATGACGTCAAGTCAAAAGTTTGCCGTATAATTCTATTTAAAATTTACAAAATATGATGAGTCTCTTCTTGTAATTTATCATTCCATTCATATTTTTTGGATTCGGATAAACAGGGTGACTCAAAAAATGTAATCAATGCGCAAATTTATTTTATTGATTTAATCAGGAACTATAATAGTCTTTGCCATTTCTATTGAAACACCACTTGTTGATCGTAAATTTGGCAACGTTCATATTCTGACAATTTGCTAACTAAAAGCCGTTGTCAATCAACCGAAAACTGTTAGCAATTGCTAAATTTTAGGCAAAATCAACAGGTGGTGTTTCAGTAGAAATGGCAAAGACTATACAAAACCGAATGCTTTGAAATCTAATGTGAAAAAAACACATAATAGGCATACAGTCGTCACGTTACCGATAGCGAGGGAAGTACTGTCTAAACTCTTTAGACCAATTTTTTTGATTTTTCCATTTTTCCATTTCTCAATTTATCAATGTTTCAGTTTGGGATTTTTTCACTGTTTCTTTAATTTTCCTTTCATTTTTAGGTTTTTCAATATTTCAGTTTTGGAATTGTGCAATATTTCGTTTCTTCAATTTTTCAAATTTTTAATATTGTGTTTTCTCGGTTTTTAAATTTTTCGAAATTTTAATTTTTCAGTTTTTAAAGTTTTAGGTTTTTAGATTTCTCACTATCTCGACTTTTCGATTTTTCAGTTCCATGATTTTTGTTCTCGAATTTTCTGAGTTTTCAGGCTTAGATTTTTTTTGTTGTTCAATTCTTGGATTTTTAAAATTTTTGTTTTTTAAATTTTCCTATTTATCAACTTACTGGGATTTCAATGTTTTGATTTTTTGATTGTTCAATTTCTCGATTTTTTGAATTTTTAGTTTTTCAATTTATTAACTTTACGATATTTCAGTTTTACGATTTTTAAATTTTTTTATTTTTCAGTTTTCAATTTTTGACGTTTCTAAATTTTTCGATTTTTCAATTTTTCGATTAACTGATTTTTTGATCTTCCCATTTCTCTATTTCTTGATTTTTCAATTCTTTCTTCAATTGTGATTTTTCAATTTTTCGATTTCTGGATTTTTCAATGTTTCAGTTTTGGATTTTTTCACTTTTCCGATTCTTCAATTTTCTTTCCATTTTTCAGTTTTTCAGTATTTCAGTTCTGGGATTTTGCAATGTTTCGATTTCTCGGTTTTTCAATTTTTCGATAGGTATTTTAATTTTTCAATTTTTAAGTTGTAGATTTTCCGTTAATTTTTTTGTTTTCCTTGATGTTTTGATTTCTCGATTATTCGATTTTTTAAGTTCTCGGTTTAGATTTTTTGGTTTTCCAATTCTTCGATTTTTAAATTGTTTAATTTTTAGATTGTTCAATTTTTCGATTTATAAATTTTTCAATTTTTCGGTTTACCGATTTTTTTCATTTAAAATGTTTCAATTTTTCAATTATTAAGTTTTCGATTTTTCAATTTTGGTGTAATTTGAAAACGGTATTAATAATACATTTAGGCGAATAAACTAATAGACGGGCTTGACAAGCCTTGTTTGCTCTACAGTGTCTAAATTGTGTTTGAATAATATAATAATTATCTCGAATATTAAAATTAATATGTCAAAAGAATACGAGAAATGATTATTCTGTGCTGAACGTATGTTGTGGGGCGCCTGTCATAAATTATCATTATTCTGCATTATTGGCTTACGATGCTTTTATGACCCACGTCCGGTAGTCGTCTATCCCAGCGCGTCAGGTAGATTTAAAGA